GGCCGGGGGGCGCCCAGAATCGGCACCGCCGACTGTCAGAGCGTGAATTACCTACCCCGCTTTCGCTTCCAGGAAAAACCAAGTCATACCACGCGCCTCCTCGTCAAGCGACCTGACCAGTACAGGCCGTAGTTTGGCATCGCTTGGTATCTCTTGGAAGCGAGGGTGGTCAAAAGCGAGGTAGGTTTGTGTTCCCCCTAGACTGGGCCGGCGGGTCGGTGGCCCTGAATCGGGCCAGCCTAGCCTTGCAGCCTGTGGTCGCCGCCGCCGCCGCCGCCGCCGTCGTCGTCATCGTCGTCGCCGTCGTCGTCGTCATCGTCGTCGTCGTCGACGTCGTCGTCGTCCTCGTCAGCTACAGTGCTGGGATCAGCGCGTGCTGGAAGGGTGATAAATGGCAGCCGGCACTGGCATTGCTTGGCCAGATTTGGGAGGCGAAGTTGGAACCCGACGGCATGAGCTACACATTGTGCATTACAGCGTATGAGAGGTCGTCTCGCAACTCGGCAGGATTCCCAGGCTATCTTGGGATCGGTCTTTCGCGTTTTCGCCTGTCTTGCGAAGCGCTGTGCGTGTGGGAACTTACTGGGCAACCAATTTGATTGTGTGGACGGCCATCTGCATTTTGAATTCGACAGTGGCGCTCCATCGCGCAGGAAGCCGCTTCGGATAACATTACACGGATCCGCCCTGGTTTTGATTACAGCGGTGAGGTCAGTATTTGTGCGATTCAGGCGTGCAGCGAAAGCCAGTCCTGCCGCTGCTCAGCGAGATGCCAATTGTGAAGCTGGAGCCCACTGTCGACAGCTGCTCAGCGAGTTGCTGGGTGCGATGTCGGAGCTCGTGACCATCAATTTCAGCGCCGGGATCAGCGAGTGCGAGAAGGGCGAGCAGTGGCAGCGGGTTGTGGCGCTGCTGAGGCAGATGTGGGAGGCGAAGTTTGAGCCCGACGTCCTCATCTGCAGCGCTGGGCTCAGCGCGTGCAGGAAGGGCGAGCAGTTGCAGCGTGCTTTGTCGCTGTTGGACGAGATGCGGGAGGCGAAGCTGGAGTCCTATGCCATGAGTTACAGCGCTGGGACCAGCGCGTGCGAGAAGAGCGAGCAGTGGCAGCCGTGTCTGTCTCTGCTGCGCGAGATTTGGGAGGCGGTGCTGGAAAACGACGTCATCGGTTACAGCGCTGGGATCAGCGCGTGCGAGAAGCACGGGCAGTGACAGTGGGGTCCGGCGCTACTGAACGATATGCGGGAGGCGACGCTGGAGCCCGATGCCACAAGCTGAACTGCTTGGATCAGGGCGTGGGAGAAGGGCGAGCAGTGGCAGTAGGCTCCGGCGCTGGTGAGCGAGATGTGAGAGGTGACGCTGGAGCCCAACGTCACTGGCTAGCTACAGAGGCGCTGGGACACGACGTTGCGTTTATAACGGCGGGCATGCCGCGGATTTGGATTCCATGAGTCGCTTCCGCGCGTGCTGGGCTGAGAGGATTGCTGTCCGTGTGCCTGTGTGCGTGAGTTCCTTCCATCTCCTGTCCCTCCGCAGTCCTCTCTTCTTCCCTCCTGGTTATGTACAATGCTGGGATCAGCGCTTGCGAGATAGGTCAGCAGTGGCAGCGGGCCCTGTCGCTGCTCAGCCAGGTGATCGAGACGGAACTGGAGTCCGATGCAATTATCTACTGTACAGTGCTGGGGTCAGCGCTTTCGAGAAAGGTCAGCTGTGGCAGCGGGCCCTCGCTGCTCAGCCAGATGGTCGAGACGAAACTGGAGCCCACCGTCATCTACTCCAGATTTCGTAATAAAGGGAGGGGGGTCTCATTTCGGGGGGGGTCTCTTCCAGGCTATCTTGGAGGGCCTGGGGGGGTCTGGGGACGATGTTTTGGAGGGTTCTCCCACGGGGGAGGTCTGAAATGGCTTGTCTTGGAGGGTCCAGACCCCCTCCCTTTTATTACGAAATCTGGAGTATCCTACAATGCAGCGTTCACGGCTCCCCGGATTGGCACTGCAGTGGCAGCGAATCAGGCCCTCGCTGCAGACGCTCCCCGCGGGCCTTCGGGCCGCCCCGGGCCGCCCCGGGCGGCCGCGGAGCCCTCCGAAGCGGCCCCGAGCGCGCCGCAGACGGTCCCAGGCTGCCCCGGGTCGGCGCGGCACGCCCCGCAGACGGCCCCAGGCGCTCCCGAGCCTCAGGAGCGACAAAAGGACGCACACGCACATGAGTCCACGCTGGTTTCGAGAGTACGCATTGCGCAAATGTTCGTATCACGCGGCCGGTCTCGCGGATCGAGGGGCCGTGTTCATGTACATAGCTGGGCGCGTACGTCCTTTGTGGGCTCCCTAAAGCCGCCCCCCGAGGCCCCCCCAAAAGGGCCCCCACGAGCCAACAATTGCACCGTTCCTTCGTCGGAAGACGTACATGTTGGCAGACTCGCCCTTCGGGTCGGCCGAGCGTCCAAGACGGCCGGATGAGCCTCCAAGACCGCCCCAATTCTGTCCCAGAGGCAGCCAAGACATCCCGAAGACGGCACAAGAGGGCCCCAAGACGGCCCCAGGGAGCCCGACTTCCCACGATTTCGGTGTTGACAGGGAAAGCAACTCATTTACTAATCCAGAGAAGTGATGTTTGACCCAGACAGACGATGTTATAATATTGTTGTCGCATGTATATGTTTAGTAGGTCGCCGAGCACTTAGCAATCAGAAAGCTGATATCTATACGTCGATATACATAGATATAAGTGTATGTGTTGTATGTGATCTGTCAGGCGTGCGCACAACACGGCCAACCAATTTATGTTCCGAATAGAAAATGCTTGTTACGCGTGTACCCTCACCCCCGAAATCACTCATAGAAATAGCTTGGGGGGTTACAAAAAAGGTTACGAACAGGTTGCGAGCAGGTTACGAAAGAAGTCAGATTCAGGTTAGGTTTAGGTTACCTTCGGGTTAACTCAACCTTATACATATGTTCGGCGTGTGTCATTCAGTCTGTCATAGGCCTTGAAGAATCTCTCTAGGAGGACGAGGAGAAGGAGGAGGACGAGGCTAAGGCCAGCAGGAAGAGAACGAGGAGAAGGAGGGGGAGGAGGACGATTAGGGAAAAGGAGGTGGCAGGAGGAGGGGGAGGAGGAGGAGGGGGAGGAGGATGGGGAGCAGGAGGAGGAGGAGGAGGAGGAGAAGAAGGAGGAGAAGGAGGGGCCCAAATAACTCACGCCAGGAGGTGAGTCGTTCGGGCCCCTCTGGATTTGGAGGAGGAGGATGACGACGACGATGAGGAGGACGACGAGGACGAGGAGGACGAGGAGGGGCAGCAGGAAGAGGAGGAGAAAGGAGAAGGACGAGGGAGGAGGAGGAGGAGGAGGAGCAGGAGGAGGAGGGGCAGGAGGAGGAGGAGGAGAAGAAGGAGGGGGCCGGAGGCCGTTGCCTGACAGACGCCAGACAGTTGCCAGATAGATGCCGGATAGACATCGGATATATTATTGCGTCCATCCGGCGTCGACTATCCGGCATCTATCCGGCATCTATCCGGCATCTGTCCGGAATCAATCCGGCATCTGTCCGGCGTCTGTCCGGCAACGGCTTCTGGCCCCTCCGAGCTTGTTTTGATTGAACATCGCGAAAATTTGCGAAACAAATGCTGGGGGAAAATATCAAACTCGGTGGGGCATTCTCCTCTTCCTCCTCCTCCTACTCCTGCCTCCTCCCTCCTCCTCCTCCTCCTCCTCCCTCCTCCTCCTCCTCCTCCTCCTCCTTCTCCTCCTCCTCCCCCTCCTCCTCCTCCTCCTCCGCCTCTCCTCCTCCTCCTCCTCCTCCCTCCTCCCTCCTCCATCCTCCTCCTCCTCCAAAAGGGGCCCGAACGACTCACCTCCTGGTGTAAATCGTTTGGGCCCCTCCTCCTCTCCTCCTCCTTCTCCTCCTCCTCCTCCTTCTCCTCCTCCTCCTCGTCCTCCTCCTCCTCCTCCTCCTCCTCCTCATCCTCATCCTCATCCTCATCCGCTTCCTCCTCCTCCTCCTTCTCCTCCTCCTCCCCCTCCTCGCCCTCCGCGCCCCGCCGCGCAGGGGTGAGGGCGCGCGAGATGGAGGAGGATCAAGAAGGAGGAGGGAGGAGGAACAAGTAGGAGGAAGTAGAAGAACTGCTTGGCTTCCCTGAGGCATGCGATTGACATGAGACAGTATACTTGTACTTGAAACTGCGTGATACGGCGTGATAGTTCGCGTGACCTTTTATGTTAACCGTCTGTCCGACTTACGTTACAGTTAGGTTCCACTTACGTAACACTACGTTTTACTTGCGTTTAACTTACGTGGCCCCTACATCTGGGTTGTGCACTGGGGGCCGACTTGCCAAGTAGGTTGTGATCCAGACGCGCTGTTTAGGATAAGTTGATTCATGAGCTGCTGATGTGTAAGCTGTTCAACCAGATGCTAAGTGGATACTGCCCCATGGAAGTCTCACGTCTTGGGAAGCAGGACAGCCCAAGACGGACCCCGGAGGGCACGAAAAAGCTCCCAGGAAGGCCCCGAGTGGGCCACAGGAGGCCTCCAAGAGAGCCCCAAACGGCCCCACGACGGCCCCAAGACAGCCCGAGCTATCCAAAACGGCCCAAGAAGGCCCCAGTACTGCTCCAGAGCGCCCTGAGACGGCCCGAAAGAGCCCCAAAAGGACCCGCCCGAGAGGCTTCAAGACATTCCAGGACCGCCTCCGAAGGGCTTCCAAGGGAAGATCCCTTACAGACCTCTGGGGCCACGAGAGCCCCAAGGGCGACCCCAGAGGAGACCATATGCTCGGCCACCCGTGCGCCGAGGCCACCCGCGCGCCGGCCCCTCGCTTCTCCCTGATGTCTACTGGCATCTGCCTGCTCCCTCTTCGGCCCCCCCCGCATCCCTCATGTCCCATCTCCCTCTGCCCATCTAAGCGCGAAACTTTGCGTGCACTGGTCACTCATGGTCTCCGGGTGCAGCCCTCGCACGTCTGCCCGCCGTGGAAGCTCCACAGGGTCTCAGTTGGCCTACTAAGGTCCCGTTACAGCATCGACTGCGAGGGCAAGAAGGACAACGTTGGCGTCAAGGTGGTGGCGCGGGCTCTGGCAAAGACTGCAGAGACCATCGCCGATGCGGAGACCGACGACCCCACTAATCGCCACCTGACGGAGTCCCGACAGGCGGAGTTGTTCGGCATCTCCAGCGTGCTGTGCGCGCTTGACCTCAAGGAGGTCGGGCAGGAGTGGTGGGACGACGTGAGGCAATCAGGGACGGAGGTGAAAGAGAAGGGGGAGGATACCACATAAAGTTAGCCTGGCGAAAGACCCAACCATATGCAGTTGTGGGTATCGCATTCGGGGAAGCCTCCTATGGGGCCACGAAACGCTGTACTAGGTGGGGGGGGAGACGCATGCGAACTGCGCCACTGGGACCTTCGGTGGAGCTCTCTCTGGGGCCACGAAACGCTGTACTGGGTGTGGGGAGGACGCATGCGAACTGCGCCACTGGGACCTTCGGTGGAGCTCCCTATGGGGCCACGAAACGCAGTACTGGACGCATGCGAACTGCGCCACTGGGACCTTCGGGGGAGCTACCTATGGGGCCACGAAGCGCTGCCCTGGGTGGGGGGGGAGGGGGAGCGCATGCGAACTGCGCGACTGGGGCCTTAGGTGGAGCTCCCTATGGAGCCACGAAACGCTGCCCTGGGTGGGGGAACCGCATGCGGGCTGTGCCACTGTGACCTTCGGTGGAGCTCCCTATGGGGCCACGAAACGCTGTCCTGGGTGGGGGAACCGCATGCGTGCTGTGCCACTGGGACCTTCGGTGGAGCTCCCTATGGGGCCACGAAACGCTGCCCTGGATGGGGGAACCGCATGCGGGCTGTGCCACTTGGACCTTCGGTGGAGCTCCCTATGGGGCCACGAAGCGCTGCCCTGGATGGGGGAACCGCATGCGGGCTGTGCCACTGGGACCTTCGGTGGAGCTCCCTATGGGGCTACGAAACGTGTGAGGGGTGTGCCGAATTCTGTGCGGTGGGCGCACGGGAGCGCAGCCACTGGGGCCTTCGCTGGAGCTCCCTATGGGGCCACGAAACGTGTGAGGGGTGTGCCGAAATGGGTGCGGTGGGCGCATGGGAGCGCAGCCACTGGGGCCTTCGCTGGAGCTCCCCATGGGACCACGAAACGTGTGGGTGGAAATGGGTGCGGTGGGCGCATGTGGGGCCTGCCGGAAATGGGTGCGGTGGGCGCATCGCAGCCACTGGGGCCTTCGCTGGAGCTCCCTATGGGGCCACGAAACGTGTGAGGGTGCGAAATGTGCGGTGGGCGCATGGGAGCGCAGCCACTGGGGCCTTCGCTGGAGCTCCCTATGGGGCCACGAAACGTTGAGGGGTGTGCCGACGGTGGGCGCATGGGAGCGCAGTGGGGCCTTCGCTGGAGCTCCCTATGGGGCCACGAAACGTGTGAGGGGTGTGCCGAAATGGTGCGGTGGGCGCATGGGAGCGCAGCCACTGGGGCCTTCGGTGGAGCTCCCTATGGGGCCACGAAACGTGTGAGGGGTGTGCCGAAGTGGGTGTGGCTGACGCATGCGGGCGGTGGCACTGAGGCCTTCGGTGGAGATCCGTATGGGGCCGCGAAACGTGTGACGGGTGATGATGGCGATGATGATGATGGTGGTGATGATGACGTCGATGATGTCGATGATGATGATGATGGTGATACCGAAACGGTTGCACACGCTTCGTGGCCCCATGATGATGATGACGATGATGATGGTGATACTGTCGATGATGATGATGATGATGATGATGATGATGATGATGATGATGATGATGATGATGATGATGATGATGATGATGATGATGATGATGGTGATGGTGATGGTGATGGTGATGGTGATGATGATGATGATGGCAGGAGGGAGGGGGCAGCGGGAGGAGGAGTGAATGCGGGGCGCTGTCTCTTCAAAACGAGGACCCAACACCACAGGATGTATGGGAAACAAAAAAAATGTTTCGGCGCTCGGCGGTGGGCCCCGAGCCAGGCGGGTCACTGCCCGCCGCCGTGAGGCGGCGAATGTGGCCTCCCACGTTTGGGTGCAGACAGACCAGGCAGGGGGCCTACCAGACCCCTTCCGCGTCGTGTCGGGGTGTCCCTCTTCATGTGCGTCGTCGTCTTCCACCTCTCTTGAGGCCTCTTGGGGGCCGCTTGAAGGGCCGTTCGGAGGCCTCTTGGGGGCGTCTTGGGGGCCGTTCGGGGATGGGCTTTTCGGGTCGTCTTCGGGCGCTGCTGGGCAGACTGGAACCTTTTTAGGGCCTTTCTGCGCCGACTCGGGGCACTCTTGGGGCCCTGAAGGGTTGCTATTGTGGGTCTACTGGCCGGTTTGGGGGCCTCCTTGGGTCGTCTCGGGGCCGTTTTGATGGCCTCTTCGGACATCCTGGCAGTCTCTTGGGCCGTCTTGGGGACCTGTCGGGCCGTCTTGGGGCCCGTTTGGAGGCCTCTCGGGCGTTGCGGGCCGACGGAAGCTTGAGAAGGCGAGGACGCGACAATCATTCAAACGGTATGGGCATACCAGATGTTGACCTCTTCGGGGCCTCTTAGAGGTCCTCTTGGAGCCGTCGTGGGCCGCGTTCGGGGCTTCTTGGGCTGCCTTCAGGCAATATTGGGCCGTCCTGGTGCCATGTTGGGGCGCTTGGAGGAATCCTGGAGGAGCAAAGCAGGCCCGCGGCCTCTCCTGCGTAGCTGGTCTGGACGGGTGGCGGCAGTCGCTGTGAGCATTTGCCATGCCGAACCCGTTGCGAGGATGGAGCGCTGTCCGTGTTCGAAATCGAATTCTCAGTCCACCGCCTGCGCAAATTCGTGCTGAACGCTTGCAACAGGTACAGTGGGGGCCCATGCCAAGAAGCACCCTGCTTGCCTCCAGGGTGCCCTGGATGTCTTGGGTTTCGGACGGTTTTGCGATGGAAAGCGTGACGTCCCCACACCAAAAGCCAGTGGACGTCCTGGGGTCTCTGGGTTGGGCTTCTTGTGGAAGGCTTCTCGTGGACTGGCCCCCCCTGTACAAGGATGGGCGGCGGCAACTCTGCAAAGAGGGGGGCCCTCGCCCCATGGCTCCTCCTCCTCCTCCTCCTCCTCCTCCTCCTCCTCCTCCTCCTCTCCTTCTTCTCCTCCTCCTCCTCCTCCTCCCCTCCCCCTCCCCCTCCTCCTCCTCCCCTCCCCTCCTCCCTCCTCCTCCTCCTCCTCCTCCTCCTCCTCCTCCTCCTCCTCCTGGCGCACCGCGAACAGGATGTCGTGTGCAGCTGCGCAGCAGCTGCAGGGAAGGGGGGCGTGGCCTTTCTCCAATGTGAGCTTCCGTATCCGCGCCGCGCGCATATGTCGGGGGAGGAAAAGATACGGATACGTGTTGTCCCCCCTCGTTTTCGGCCTTTCCTGGTCCTCTTGGGGAATCCTCGTTGTCACCGCTGGATTCGCCTCGAAATTCTGGTCAGAACGCACCCCAAGAGAGGTCCGGGGACAACACGTATCCGTATCTTTCCGCCCCCAATATATATATATATATATATATACATATATATATATATACATATATATATATATATGTGTGTGTATGTATATGTGTGTGTGCGTGTGTGTGCGAACTGCCTGCCGTCGCGAAAGGGGTGGAGGGCGGCTTGTTGTCAACGCGGGGCTCTCGCCCGATCGCCGAGCACACTCTGCCAGCAAGTGCACAGCCGATGCGAGGATGGGGGGCTGTTCGCTACCGGAAGTGGGGCTCTGGCCTTAGCGCCGTGCCCACCCTGTTGAGAACCTTTGAAACCAGCGCAAGGACGGAGGGTGCCTTATGTGGAAGCTGCGTCTTGATTGAGAGCTCCCCAGTCCTAGCGACATGGAGCTGGCAACTACCTGACGATAGTACAGATGGAAGGCGCTTCTTTTCAATGTAGCCACGTGCATACTTTTTTAACAGCTGCACGGTTGGAGATCGGTTCGTTTTCGAAATGGGGCACTCTCTGTAGAGACGCGTCTTGTTGTCAAGAATGGTCTCTCTCTCTCTCTCTGATTTCCTGAATCTTGCATTCACAGGTATATATGTATATATATATATATATATATGTAACTGTGCAGAACGGCTACGCGGAGTTGAGGTGGGTCCTTTGCAACAGGGGGGCATTCTCTGGACACACCGCTGCACTTTGTGATCCTACCTTTTGCATCGGCTTCCGTATGGGCAGGCGCAAGAGTGCAGGGCAGATCGTGCCAACACGGCAGGCCCGTCGGACGTTCGTTCTTCATGGCGGCCTGTAAGGATTTGTGAGGGGGACTTGGGACAGAGGGCGCATCTGCAGCATCGTTGATACATCCTGGATTTACTCTGGTCTTCATCCTCCCTCCCTCATCCTCCTCCTCCTCCTCCTCCTCCTCCTCCTCCTCCCCCTCCACCTCCTCCTCCCTCATTTTTCATCCTCCTCGCTCCTCGTCCGCCTGCTCCGTGTGGCCTTCCCCGGCCCCTGAGGCACATGAAGAAGGAGGACCTCCGCGGAGACGACGACCGTGTCCGGCGGCTAACGATGCGTTTGTTGCAAGACCCGGCGCCAATCGCCGGCGTCGTGGGACATTCGTTGCTGTTCCAGAGGATGATCCAGCTTTTCTTACCTCGGGACCGGGGCGAGCAGCTGCAGATCAAGGCGGCCATGCGCAACGGCGCGCCCGAGACCACCAAGGACCCTTTCGATGACAAGATCATGAACTGCGGCGTGCTCGTGCTCACGTGTAGGCACCGATCACATATAAATGCCATAACGCACAGTGTATATCATCGATCATGTATTGCACTGGCACCGTGTGACAAACGTGTGTGTGTGTGAATTGCTGTGTGTGTGTGTGAATTGCGTGCGTGCGCGTATGTCAGCCTTTTCACTTACGAAGATTAGTGGACTCTCTGGGTCTTTGGGGGAACCCTCTGGAGCCGCTCTCGTGCATCGATTCTTCCGAGCCTCTTACACATTTATGGTGTCTTACTGAGGCTCTTGCGGTGCATGTTGAGATGTTTTGTTCGTTCCGCTCGGGCGGGCGTTTCATACCTGCGCATGCGGGTGAGAGGAGATCACTTGCCTTAGCCAGCAGCAAATTCGACAGAACGACGTCGCCATCTAGCCGAGAACTGGGGCAGTTGGGTTGTTCGTCGGTTGGCCCGCTTGGTTTCTTACTGTGGCGGTCGGGCACTGCCACGATGTCTCGTGGTTGGGTCGTAAGACCGCTCCATCGTTTGCGGCTTTCTCGTCAGACTCTTGCTATTATGTTAAAGGTCTAGTTCGATAACAAGCTCGTTTGTAGGAGAAAACCTCACAAGGAGATTGGTGTTGGTTTCGGTGTGGTTCGCGCTGTGCGTACGGGAGTCGGAGCTTCGCGCGCGTCCGAGATGGCCACAGGCGGTAGGCAGCGGGGGACTCGCCAACACATGTCCTAAGCAGTCGGGGTCACTGCCCCGCGGGTGGTGCTCTGATGGTACCAGTCGCTGCCCTCTCATACATGGGACGTTGCCCCGTCCTGTCCCGCGGTTGTCCCGCGATTGTCCCGTGCTGTTCTCCCGCGTCTGTCACTTTGTTGCTAGATAGTTTGGTCGCGACGCAAACCGTTTGACAGGCCACTCGGCATTGGTCAATGATAAGTCGGTGCTCAGCCACACAGCCATGTACATGTTTATCTCTAACCCCTGGATGTGTTTTAGCGGACCCCTTATCATGTATGCATATTTATATGTATTTCTTATGCTTGTGTATATCGCGGTGTGTTGATCGATTGCTTGATAGCCTGGCCCACGGCCAGAAACTTTACCAGATACGTAACCTTGTGGCCAGTCATACCATCAGCGGGATCACCTCATGCGTCTACCCATTGTGATACGATTATTGGTTTGACTGCTAGGTCGTAAGATCGTCAGCAAGGCAGTGCTCTCGGTTGATATGTAATCTGGTGGTTCGACCATTAACTGGATCACTGGCACGCCAAACGGTAGCTCGAGTATCAGAACGCGGGATCGGTAGTCTGATTGCCCATATGATAGTAAGATCGCCGTTTCCTGGGTCTCGTGTACGGTTGGCCCGTGGCAGGTCCTCATTTGTTTTGGGGTTGCCCCGTGGTTCATTTCTGCGATCGGCTTGATAGTTAGATGGGGCGTGCGTTAGGTTATTCATGTAGAAGAGTGTGATGGGGGTGTTCGCGCAGATGTATCATGATATATATATATATATATACATATATATATATTCGGCATACATCCAATCATAGAAACAAGGGGGATACATGGATCTTGTCTTGGACTATTCGCAGCCAGCTTGCTACGAATAGCCTTGAGGCATGAGCGTTGTTTTGTTTATTGCGCCACTGTTGCGGTTGTCACGCATACCGATTGCGACCAGGAGGTCTAATCCAAACCCTACTAATTGGTCCGTTGTCCCCCCTAATTCCTATGCCCCCCCCTAATTCCTATGGCTATGCCTATGCCTATGCCTCCCCCCTAACTCTTATGCCTACGCCGTTCGTCCTCCTCCCATCCTCCTCTCATCCTCCTCCTGTCATCCTATCTATCTGGAGTCATCGCTGGCTGATATATAGAGATGTGTTTGCATTCTGGGTTCTCCTTTTCCCCCAGGGGATGGGGAGGGCCGGCCGGGGCTTCGCACAGCTGGCGCCCGTGGGCGCCGCTTGGATTCCCCGCGCCTGGTGTGGGTCCGCCAGGCGTGCGCCCCTTGGGCGCCCGTGGGCGTTTCGGGGGAGGAGGAGAAGGAGGAGGTGCAGGAGGAGGGATGGAGAGGAGGAGGAGGAGGAGGAGGAGGAGGAGGAGGAGGAGGAGGAGGAGGAGGAGGAGGAGGAGGAGGAGGAGGAGGAGGAGGAGGAGGAGGAGGAGGAGGAGAGGAGGAGGAGGAGGAGGAGGAGGAGGAGGAGGAGGAGGAGGAGGAGGAGGAGGAGGAGGAGGGGTGTGTCCTCCGTCCTCCGTCGCCCTTGCGCGTGGTGTGTCCACCAGGGCTTTGCCCGTGGGGCGCCCGTGGACCCGATCACGCTGCTTGAGCCGCATGGCTTGCACCGCATACCCCATAGCCGGTTCACGCAGCTTACACCACATAGCCTGCGCCACATAGCCTGCACCATCATCCGCAGTACGCCTCCCCCGCCTTTCGGCACGGTGCGGCTCGGGAGCCACGATGTTGCTTCTAACCGCAGACTGTTCGCCTGCAGTGTAGCCTGGTCGCTGCACTGAATCGAGACAGGTGGGTTAGTGTTCATCGGCTGTTCGCGCCCTCTTCCTTCGCTTTCCACCCTCTCTCCAAACATCTTGCGCTGATAAAGCACAGCTTTCATCACATAGCTAACTCCACGTAGCTCACAGCTGGTAGCTCACACCACAGGTTACACCACATAGTTCGCACTACATAGCTTGAAATACTTTCACCACACAGTTTACTCAACGTAGCTTGCGCCCCGCTTCTTGCACCACCGGACATAGCTCACACATACCGTACCGTGTGCAAGAAAGTATTTGTTGGTGGCCACGCCAGCAATCATGTTCGGTGGGTCGATTGCCAAGATGTGTCCCTGTAAAGAAGAAGAACTAAGCCGTTGGCGTTGGCTTCCATTCAGTTTGCATGTAGATGTGTCGTGAGGTAGCCCGTTGTCTCTTTCTAGTTCGTGACTCTGGCTGTATGGGATGTGCTACCCGACGCGAGGCCCTCGCAAACCGAAGATCCTGCACCTCCACCGCCCCACCTCGTGTCCACCCGAGGCGTCCTTTCGCAGAATGGTACGCGCCTGCGGAAATGCCGGCCAGGTTCCCACATCTTCGGGCGCTGCGGAAGAGCGCGCCGAGATCGGCCAGCTCTGGGGCCCTTCGGGGGCGCCGTGTGCCCGGATGTTCCCCGCGCTGGGCCCCCCGAGCGCCGTCGACGTCCGTCAGCAACGGCGGCAGGGGCGGAGGAGGCGGAGGAGGCGGAGGAGGCGGAGGAGGCGGAGGAGAAGGCGGAGGAGGCGGAGGAGGAGGAGGAGGAGGAGGAGGCGGAGGAGGAGGAGGCGGAGGAGGCGCGCAGAACGTTCGCAGCTTGTCTGGAAGGCAGATGTCGGCGGTTGCCGCAGGCGTCCCTGGCCCTGGGGGGCCCCCCCCAGTGCCCCTGGAGGCCAGGAGGCCTCCAGAGCTCAGCCCTGATGAGCCCCAGAAGGCCCCAGGGGCTGGTGGCTTTTCATCCTGAGGGCCCCCTGAGGCAGTAAACGACGAGCAGCTTTCGCACTGACTTTTTCAATACGTCGGAGGTCTGGGAAGGCTGGGGACACCTTGGCCAGGACCGCTCCTGTCAACATCTGGCCTGAGGTGGTCGATGTTGAACGCAGCCATGTATTTTTTGCGGTGAGGACCGCTGGAAACCGCCGAAGATTGCCCGAGAGGACTTGGACCGGCTTTTCATTCTGAGTCGTTCTTTGACGGTCCCTTGGCCCGGCGAGGGCCCCCAGAGGCAGAATGTGTGAGGAAAGCGTCCGTCGCGGGTGTGCTTGGTCGAAGACGTAGCCCACCGCCGAGGTACCCCGAGAGGGAGGAGGGCGTGCCAGACCTCAGCAAGATGGAGATCCAGAGCGTGGAGTTCCTCTTCGACGGCCGCATGGAGAGCGCTCTGCCCCCCTCTGAGACCCTGGGGGCCGAGCCGCAGGACACCGCGCACGGGCCTTACCAGGGCCTTCGGCCCCAGACCGCGACCCTCGAGATTCGAACCTCCAGCCTCGAGGGTCGAGGTTCCAGGCGTTTTGGCCGTCGAGAGCCCCCCTCGTCGGGACGCAGCTCGAGAAGCTCGTGCGTTTGGGATCCGGCAGGGGTCTCGGGATGCGATTCCGGCCGATCCCGACCACATCGGGCCGTTCAAGGTCCACTTGGGGCTGATGGCAACCACTGGAGTGGGACTGATCCCAACGTGTAGGACTCTGTCAGTAATCCCGCACGGCGAATTACTTCAGCTTCCCAGCCGCTTGAAGGATTCCTGGGGATTCCAAGTCCCGTGGGATTCCTAATGGGTCCGTGATGATTCCATAGAGATCCCTGAAGGATTCCTGAGGGATTCCTGCTTCATTCCAAAGGGTGTCATGAGGGATTTCGAAGAGATTCCTGAACCAATCCTGAGGGATTCCTGCGGGAGTCCGAATGGACTCCCCGGGACTCATGATGGGTCCCTGCGAATTCCTGAGGGATTCCTGGGATTCCTTGGGATTCCTAAGGGGTTCCTGAGGATCCCGACGGGCACAGATTACAGGTCGGCATTCGGAGGTCCGCGCAGACTTTCCAGATCGGCGCTGGAGCACCCTGGTGCCGCCCACGGCGCGCTCGGCGTGCCAGGGAGGGCGGTCCAGCGCATATCAAAAAAATCCACGCGGATCGTCGAAAGTTAACGTTTGTGCAGTTGCTTTTCCCTCCTAGTATCCGCTCACTGTCATGATGCAAACCTCTCATCGTTGACTAGGAACAGCTGGCACGTGTCTCGAGTTTTGTGTGCGAGAGCGGGACGGGGAAAGAAAGGAGAGGGAGGGGCGGAGGGTTGGGAAGAGGATGAGGGACGAAGAGGAAGAGGGAGAGAGGGAGAGGAAGAGGGAGAGGGAGAGAGAGAGAGAGAGAGAGGGAGAGGAGAGAGAGAGAGAGGGGGAAAGGGAGGGAGAAGGAGCGATGGGGAAGGAATACCGAGGGACGGCAAGGAAGAGGCAGGCGGGGAGAGGGAGGAAGGGGGAGGGAGCGAGGAGGGGAGAGGGAGAGGGGGAGGGAGGGGAGAGGGAGAGGGAGGGGGAGAGGGAGAGGGAGGGGGAGAGGGGGCAGAGGGAGGCAGGGAGGGGAGCTGGAAGGACCTCGAGTCGTACCTCGGCGACTTTCTCGACGGAGGGCCGGAGCTCTGACGCCGCGCCGCCGCGGCGCGGCGCCCACGGCCCTCTGCACTCCCGCGGCGCCCCCCCCGGCTCGGATAGAGAGAGCCGTGCCGGCGTGGCGCGAGAAGTCCAAGGGGAGCAGGGGCCCTGGCGGGATCCCAGACTTCTCATCGGCGGCACTCGCGCGGGGCCAGGAGGATCGAGCAGTGGCGAAGCGTCCTGGCTTGCGTACAGGGCCAGCAAAGAGTGTTCTGAGAGCCTCTTGTGGTCTGCACGACATGATCTTAGAACAGTTCTGACTGAGACTGTGATGTTTAGACGCATTGGGTTTTGTCCTGGTCCTGGCCTCGTCTTAGGCAAGCCAAAAGGGGAGTGAGAGGCGACCGCTGGTTTCGCCGACGGCTGGTTCCGCCCAGCTGGTTTCGCCGTTCGGCGAAACCAGCTCCGTCGGCGAAACCAGCTGCCGTCGGCGAAACGATTGCCGTCGGCGAAACCAGCTGCCGTGTGCGAATCTGCCCGACCCGACCCGATCCCTAGGGTCCGCCCGCCCGACCCGACCCGCCCCTTCGGGTTCGCGCGTGCTCGGTCGAGCGCGCCCCATATTTCAATGTCCCGCCAGCCCGACCCGACCCGCCTGTTGGGGTCCGCCCACCCGACCCGACCCGACCCGCCCGCTAGGGCCCGCCCGCCCAACCCGACCCGCCCGTTAGGGTTCGCGCGTTCTCGGTCGAGCGCGCCCCGACCCGACCCGTCCGTAGGGTCCGCCCGCCCGACCCGACCCGATCCGCCCGCACAGCTATCCCTTTCCTTGTTGAGCCCACATCGTGTTCACATCATAGTTTGCACCATATGGCTTATACAGCGTAGCTTCCACTTGCTTGTATATATTGTATATATACATATATATATATATTACCCTTACATTTCACACCACTTACACTACACGCCGTAATCTTTTGTCGCGCACAGGTGGCACAGCATAGTTACACGTCACAACATGCACCGCGTAGCTTCCACCTTATATCCGACACGCCATTGTTTGCACAACATCTATTACACCAAGTAGCTTCCGCGTCCATGGCTCACGTCACATAGCCTTCACCGCATAGCTTGTACTGCTCGTATCTAACATCCTGCAGTTTGCACCGCGTAGCTTGTACCTCCACCACTTGCACCATATAGCTTACTCTACATAGAGTTTGCCACGCAATGTATACCGCATAGCGTTCACCTCTGCAGTGCAACAACTCACCGCTTTGGGTCCACACTGGCTGACGTATGTGTATATAGATACACATGTTGTACACTTGTACCTAGTTTGGTGTTTCTACACACGTATATGCATGATCGTCGTCGCACGTGCTATTTTCTGCATTTCGTTATTGCTTTCTTTGTCTCTCTAAGGCAATTCCATCTCCGCTGCTTTCTGGTACGGGTTCTGATTGTTAGATCTGCCTTCTAAAGTCGGTTTACCGTTCATTATACATGTAATATCCACCCTCTGTCCTCTTTTCTGAACTATGTTTTCTTACTCTCTGACATGTCCTCCTTTTCTTATACCACAGTATCTCTCATTCCAACCCTGGTCGCACGTGTTCGAACGCGAGAACTGGGCAAACTTGACGCGCCAGGAACCCTGACCAGGGATCTCGGACACCCGGCCACCCACCGAAATCGGCCCGGATCCAGGAACCGCGATTTTTAGTTGGTCCCATGCTTTTCATTATCAGTAGTGTTTTTTACACCCCCAGGGCCCTGCGAGGGCCCCCAGAGGCCGGAAACCGGTATGATATGAAAAGCGCATTGGTGTCCAATGCGTTGGTCCACGGCCGAGGGCCAAGGGACAGGATAGGTAAGGATGCATGGGCACCCTTGGGGTGTTACTCATTTTTGCGATGCAGCGTGGATGCGCCTTGCCTTAAGTCGGGCAGGTCCTTCTACATGAGGAATGTACAAGACAAAAGCGAAGGCAAAGCAAACGCATAGCATAGCATAGCATAGCATAGCGCAGCATAGCATAGCGCAGCATAGCATAGCATAGCATAGCCTAGCCTAGCCTAGCCCAGCATAGCAGTGCGCAGCATAGCATAGCATAGCATAGCATAACATAGCAGAGCAGAGCAGAGCAGAGCATAGCATAGCATAACATAGCGCAGCACAGCATCCACTATTGCTGCTATATGTATATATGTATATATACACTTCTATGTGTGTGTGCGCACGTATGTTCCATGCATGTTGTCCGTCTGTGGGCCATCTTGAGCCCATAGTGGGGCAGCTTGAGCCCATTGGATTCGCGAAGGTTTCGCACATAGCACCGGCCGGGAAACGTGAAACCCGACGTAGATGTAGGTGTAGGTGTAGATGTGGATGTAGGTGTAGCTGTAGATGTTGATATCGGTGTAGATGTAGATACAGATGTGAGTCTCGTTGTTGATGTAGATGTAGATGTAGATGCAGGTGTAGATTTATATTAGATGTAGCTGTAGCTGTAGGTGTAGATGTAGATGTAGGTCTAGATGTAGGTGTCGATGTAGATGTAGGTGTATATATAGATGCAGATGTAAAGAACTCCCCAGTGCCCCGCCCTCATCTCCGTGCCTGCTTGCTTTTGCTGCTGTCTCGGCGACTTGCTGCCTGCTTCTGCTGCTGCTTCACTTACGGCGTGACGTCGGCGGTTCTGGCGCTACTACTACTACTACTACTACTACTACTACTACTACTACTACTACTACTACTACTACTACTACTACTACTACTACTACGACGACGACGACGACGACGACGACGACGACGACGACGACGACGACGACGACGACGACGACTACTACTACTACTACTACTACTACTGCTACTGCTACTGCTACTGCTACTGCTACTGCTACAGCTACGACGATGAGGAGAAGGAGGAGGACGGCGTTTACCGCTCCTACTAATGTTGCTTTCCTAGAGGCTCCAACTCCTAGGTAGGGTCGCACTGGGATAATTAATATTTTTGATTATTGTTTGTCAATGTTTATCTGTTCCTCCAAACCCGCTTGTATAGGAGGACATGCCCGACCTGAGCCTCGCCCGCGGCAGCCGCCCCCCGCCCCGCTCAGCCGGACAGGCTCCTGCCGCTGGTCCCGCGGCGCCCCCGCCCATGCCGCTGCGGCCGAAGGCCATGCGCGCGCGGCCGTCTGTGCGGGGGGGCGCCGCGCCAGGGAGGCGAACTCGAGGGGCGCACCGAGGGGGTCACATCTCCCTGCTCGGGCGGGTACAAGTGGATGCCAAGGTGGGTCATGTCTGGCCTAGCCTGGCGTATCACTGCGAGTGCGCGAAGTGGTTGAATGTCCGCTACGTGGGCTCCGCCCGCTTAGCCTGGATCGTCAACCCTCTAAGCCACTCGTGGCACTTGTAACCCTCCTATAAACCAGGTTATTCAGGATATGAGCCACCTTGGATCCGCTTGCAACCCCCTATCCATTTAGCCCCCCCCCGCGGTGATTCACGGTTATACAGAGGTAGTGAAGGATCACAGAAGAGTCGCACAGGGGGCATGGGGCGCCCGAGGACGCCCAGGCAGCCGTTCTGCTTGAGAGTTCCTCACAACATGTATTCAGGAATCGTTCTCTCGCCGCAATGCCGGCTACACGATCGGTCTGGACAGCCACGATATTTTGCAAGCATGCGCTAAGGTGCACATGATCGTGCTCTCACCCTTGTCCCAGCTGGACTGTAGACCCCTAGCCGACCCTCTAATCCTCGACCTGCCTCTTCTCTTTTGGTGTTATTTGCGTGTTGTGCTTGGGTCATTTCCAGGCCGCCCAATGAAGAGCCCGTTTCTTTATTGCTTGGGGCATGACGGGCGTCATGGCCCCCGCTCCCCCCCCCCCCTATGACGTAACGCTCCCCCCCCCAGTGCGCTCCGGGCACTGCCGCCGTGCGTATTGGGATCCGCGTAGGAATCCGCATAGGTGTCTGGTCCGCAGGCGTCGTCGTCGTCGTCGTCGTCGTCGTCGTCGTCGTCGTCTTCGTCGTCGTCGTCGTCGTCCGTCGTCGTCGCTCGTGGTTCGTCGCTCGTCGCTCATCGTCGTCGTGCGCGCTGACGCGGCTGGAGCCTGTTTTTAAGTCCGGGCCGATGACGGCAATCATCTGGGGGGGGAGGGGGTCGATGACGTCACGTTTCGCGCCGGCGGCGTCTGGGAATGCTTAGGAATGACGGAGGACGGGTAGCACGAACATGTAGGTGGCGTCATGCACCACAACGCCTGTGTACATCACAGTGCCCGCGTGCACCACAGCGCCTGTGTACACCACACCGCCGATGTACACCACAGCAGCCGCGTGCAACACAGCGTCAGTTTGTGCCACCGTGCCTTCGGGCACATTAGCTCCTGTGTACACCACAGCGCCTCCGTACACCACATCAGCCGTGCGCAACACAGCACCAGTGTACACCACAATGCCTGCGTGCATTGCAGTGCCTGTGTACGCCACGGCGCCTGTGTGCACCACATCAGCCGTGTGCAACACAGCACCATTGTTGTGTATAGAATTTCAGAAGGAATCCTTGTGACAAAATGGAGCGCGTGCGGATTCCAGAGAAAACAATGGAAAACACATCTTCATGGACGAAGGAGCGCCGCTGGAATCTACGAGTCCCCCCCCGTCCGCCCGCATCACCCTAACTCCCACTTGCGTCCAGGAGGCTCCAGCTAAACTGGCCGTCCGAGAACCCATTGGACCGATTCAATCGACCATTCTGCGGTGCACGCTGAGATGCGCACGTGCGTTGTAACGCCAAGCCGCACGACAGGGGGTAAGAAGGAGGAGGAGGAGGAGGAGGAAGAGGAGGTGGAGTAGGAGGGAGGAGGGAAAAAAACGTCGCATTTGATTCTCAGATTTTTCCTGGCGTGGCGTCTAGTTGTCCGCAGCAGATCCTGACGTACATGCTCCTTCTACCTGTCCTATGCACGCAGGCACTGTGGTGTACACCAGCGGTGCGTTGCACGCGGATGCTGTGGTGTAGACAGGCGCTGTGGCGTGCACAGGTGCTGCGGTGCGAGCAAGCACAGTGGTGTACACAGGCGTTGTGTTGCACATGGCTGGTGCGGTGTATGTACACCAGCGCTGTAGTGCTCCCAAGTATTGTGGTATACACGGGCGGTGCGTTGCACACGGCTGTTGCGGTGTACGCAGGCGCTGTGGTGCACACGCGCGGCGTGGTGCACGCGAGCGTTGTGGTGCACACAGCCGCAATGGGCAGATCGCCA